CTCTGGCTTTGCTGCTGGGAGCTCCACTCAGCCTGTGCCCCCAGATCTCCAGGCCTCTGCATTTCATTGCTCTGTGGATGTCCCTTTCCATCAGCCACTGGGGGTGGGGGTGGAAGTGGGGTGGGAGCACCAGAAAGAGACCTGGATGCCAACCCGGAGTCCTGCCTCTCTTTCAAGCTGCACATTGTCACTTGCCATCTTGAACCCTTCCTCCGTCTACACTGCCCCGGCAACACGGCTGGACACTGGTCAGCTTGTCCTACTTTCCTAGCCGTTCTTCGCACTGCACCCAGAGGGGTCTTTCACAATGTCAACTGTCATTCTCTTTTTCAGTGGTCTCTCGTGCTCTCAGTACAAGATCCAAACGCCACCGTGGTGTCCCAAGCTCTTTGTGATCTGGTGCCTGTTTACCTGCCCACTTTCACCTTTCCCTAAATGTCCCCTTTCCACACTCCCTCCTAATCTCCACAACTCTTCATCCCCCCTCCCCTCACGCCTATTCTCCAATCCCACTAAAATCCTTGGATTTCTATAATGACACTATTTTCTCCTTCGCTTCGGCCTCAGCGCTCGGTACACCGGCTGTCTGACATAGAGCCCTTCCCCCTCCCAATCCCAGGGCCCCGTCAGTACCACCTGCCATTACGATTAAAGCTCAGAGGTCACCTCCTCGGAGAAGTCTTGAGGAAGCGCCACTCCCCAGCTGGTTAGCGGCGCTCCTGTGATGTGTCGTAGCTCGGCAGAGGGACTGCACCCCGCTCCCCGCAGGCGGTGAGCTCCGTCCTGCTCCTGCTCCGCCCCACACCCAGCCCCGCGCCCCGCGCCTGCTGAGCCGCTAGCGGACCCCAGTGCTGCGGGAACGGCCTGAACCGCGCGCCTGGAGCGAGACATGCGCAGACGCTGTGCCGACACAAGGGGGCGCTGCGGCCACGGGAGTCGGGAGGACGCCTCGGGGCCTTGCACAGCCTGGGCGCCAGGCAGAATATGCTGTGCTCACCAGGCGGATTCCCTGATGCTCAGAGAGGGTCTTCTGCAGTCAGGGACACTTTGCGAACTGCTGTGACATATGTTTGGGGACAGACTCTTGCCCTGGTGCCTGGTGCAGTTATGCAAACTTGAGAAGCTCTGAGAATCCGGTATTCACCAAGACCCTACCCAATCCTGCCTTCCTCAAATGCCCCTCCTAACCCAGCGAGAGAGAGAGAGAGAGAGAGAGAGAGAGAGAGAGAGAGAGAGAGAGAGAGAGAGATAGTACACTTTTTGTTTTAATACACTTTATGTTTTCTGTTCTGCTTAAATATCAGACTCGAGGATTCAAATTTATTGAGATTATAAGCTTCAGAGCCTTGCTTCTCTGAGTAATCTCTCTCCCTCCCCGCCACCCCAGCATGTTGCCTTAAAAGTAGTACAAAATAAATATTAGCTATTTGTCAATCTGGATAGCTAAATGATTGAAAAGGACGGTTAATATGCACATTTCAAGTACCATGGCGGGCTGGCAGGAGCGAATGTGATTCCCCTCTCCTAAATTTGTCAAATTAGACTCCAGAGGTAACTGCCTCCATCACCTCTGCGTAGTGTCAGCCTCTGGAGGTCAAGATACTGGAGTCCATGTTGCTTGTCTTCCCGCTTTCCTGTGCGAGAGCTCCCTCAAGTTGTGCTTTGAAACTTTTTTATTTTGTAATTCTTATGTATTATTTCATAAACGTGGTGGTGTTGAAAGAGCCTTGCTTGGAAATCAGAAGCCTTGTGTTTTGATGTTTGTCAAGGACTTTTGGGCAACTCAATTTACCAACCCAAGCTTTAGTTTCCAAGTCTGCAAAATGAGGAGGTTGCACTAGGTGATCTTTAAAGGTCTTACGGTCCTAACAGCGTGTGAATTACATCAACCACATCGCTGCGTGACCTGATTTCTCTGTGCCCTGATTTTTTTTATCTGTGAAATACAAATAATAGTAGTAACTAGATCACAGGTTATTTATTTATTGCCTAGTATTTCTGAGGATTTTTTTTTTTTTTCAAACTTTAGCTAACCCTTTTGCCAAGAGGACTATGTGCCAGGCACACTTATTTATTTTATTTTTTTTAATTGATACATAAAATTGTGTGTATTTACCAGATACAACATGATGTTTTAAAATATATATACATTTTGGAATGACTAAATTTAGCTAATTAACATATGTTCATGGGTTGTTTAAAAAAATTGAGATGAAATTTACATAACTTAAAATTAGGCATTTAAAATTACGTAGTACATTTACAACGTTGAGCAACCACCATCAATATCAAGTTCTGAAACATTTTTATCACCTCCAAAGGAAACCCTGTACCCATTAAGCTGTCACTCACTCCCCACTGCCTTCCCTGTCCTAGCCGCTGGCAATCACTAATCTGCTTTTTGTCTCTATGAATTCACCCACTCTGGATATTTCACATAGATGGAATCATACAATATGTGTAATTTTGTGTACTGCTTCTTTCACTTAGGATAATGTGGTCAAAGTTCATCCACATTGTAGTATGTATCAGAATGTCATTCCTTTTTATGGCCAACTAATATTCCATTATGGGAATATACTCCAGTTTGTTTATCCATTCATCTATGCATGGATATTTGGGTCATTTCTACTTTTTGGCTGTTGTGAGTAATGCTGCTATAGCTGCATGTGTATGTGTGTTTATTTGAGTCCCTGTTTTCAGTTCAGCTCATAGGGTATTTATGAAGACTAGATATGTGCTTACCACCTAGTGGGGGCACAATAAGTGTTAGCAATTGATGCCATTGATATTATTTGGAGGGTATGCAAAGAGGGCCCCACTGGAGATCTGCTTCAGATTGGGGAGCCAGATCTCACTTTCTCTCCTCTGCTGGTTTTTAGTCTACGTCTCTGCTCATTCCCCACTTGCTGTCATGGGTGGAATGGAAAAACCAGAGCAAAAAGAGTAAGGTGGACAAGGCAGGGGAGAAGTAGAGGGGAATGAGGACAGGTGGCTGGGGACAGCCATTGGGCAAGTATCATGGAGCAAGACACAGGAACAGGAAAGACAACAGTGATCCCAGGAAAAAGGAAGACGCCAAGGTTTAGAGAATGAGAAGGGTAAGTTACCAGTTTCTGCTTCCATAGTGGGAAGGAAGGGTTTGGAGTGGGGCCACTGGCAGAATATGGTCAGGGCAAGAAAATGGCTCGGGCAAGGATGAATAAGGGAGCAGGAGATGGCTAGATGAGTGAACAGGTGGTCTTGTACGTGAATGCAGGACTCTGGTTGTGGATGAGGGATTCTGCTGGTTGGGGGAGTTAGAGCTGGAAGCTGAGGATGAGCTCTTGGAACTGTTAGCTTGAGATCAGATGACAAAATACTAACCAACAAGAAAGCTAATGCTGCCAGGAAGGCAACTGATCTGGGCTGCAGATGTCCTTGATGGGTGAGAATTGGAACATGCTCTTTGCACATGCCTAACATAAATGGAGGTGGAGGACTCTAAGGGCAGTGTGTGCCACCATCTGGAATTCTAAGGAACCTCTGCTTAGGTGCTGGAGGAAGCTTAGGTGGAGCAATTTCTTCCTAATGTGGAGCAAAGCAGCTGAGGCCCAGACAGGCAAAGCATTGGCCCAGGGCTTAAGAGGTCTGAGAGGAATTACCCCCATATTCACCCATATGGTGGGATCAGGATGAAAGGCAGGAAGGAGGGATCTTGGCTGGTGGCATGTGGCAGGAAAGGAGCCAAGTTCAGCGTGTGCATCCCTGAATGATCTATTCCAGCCTCGGTTTTTGGTTTAAGATTACCTTTTCCAAAGTTAAATAATGAGTGCTTTGTAGGGAAGAAGTTTCAGGTTTTATAGGAGACAACAGCCCTGACGTAGGAGAGGGCAGGAATCCAAGGTGTGCCCTCTTTGATGACAATAATTGTCTTCCTCTCTGGGCAAGTGCCAGAGTTTGGCCAGAGAGGGAGTCCTTGAGCCAAAAACTATTCCAACACATTTTTTTCTGTATCTTGAATGCTGTTTGCACGTGCTTCAAGCCCTCTTGCTGCTTGCTCTTTTCTCCCACAATTCTCATTAAAGTAACTTCTATAATCCTCCATTCACTGGGTCAGTGGACTCATGAGGATTAGCATTTTTTGGAACTGGGGTGGAATTTAAAGATCATCTGACACAATCCTTGCCCTTAATAGAGGAGGAGACAGAGGCCCTCATATTCGCTCAGATGTCACTACGTGGTCAGAACCCGGGTCTCCAGGGTCCTAACCCAGTGCTCCTTCCACTGACCTCAAGTCTGGCTGCAGGAGTTGGTGTGTCCCTGGGGACCCCTCAGGAGGTAGCACTTTCACTGCACCTGTCCTCTCTCCCTTTTCTGAATATTTAAAACACAAAAGCCAAATTGTAGAAAAAAAGATGTCTTATCTATGTCAGGAGAGAGATAGTGTCTACTTACCATTTTTTTTTTTCCTGTCCTGAGCACCTTGTTAGGTGTTCATGGACACTAACCTGTTAATCAAGGAGAACATACTAGGAAGAATCATTAAGGACCAAGTACTGAGAAACTGAATCAAGACCTAAACAACAAAAATCAATGATTAGACCAAAGGGGAGAATATTAAATGTGGGGTCAAGGGAATATGGAGAATTCTAAATAAAAGAATATAGCATATAAGATTGGTTTTAAAAAGACAGTATAGTGAAATTGGGCTTTTTTATGGAGGAGGAAGGCTTCAGAAAGCTCAAAGCACATCAGGACGTGGCTGTGTGTTTAAAGCTACTGTCCGGGCTGGAGAAACCAGCTGTCCTCAGGACTGGATAAATAAGTAATAAAGATGCTGGGCACACCACTGGCATAGTTGAAAACTGGAAATTCTGGGAGGTTTGAGACAGTTCCTGGGAGGTTTGATGACAGAATGAGCTGTAAATTTCCTTCTCAGTGAAGCTATTGTCGCCTGGCCCAGCCAGAGGCCACAGTGAGGACTGAGCTCCGCTAACGTGCTGTGGGTTCCCTCTCAGATGGCAGGGACTGCGCGCCATGACCGAGAGATGGCGATCCAGGCCAAGAAAAAGCTCATCACGGCCACCGACCCCATTGAAAGACTCCGGCTGCAGTGCCTGGCCAGGGGCTCTGCCGGCATTAAAGGACTTGGCAGGTAAGACCTGGTGGCCGGTGGGATGGCAGGGAGAGGAGTAGAAAAGCTCCACGTGGGGCCGGCCTGGTGGCTCACTGGATAAGTGCGCCGCTTGAGAAGCGCTGCGGCGCTCCCGCCCGAGGGTTCGGATCCCACATACAGACCGGTTCCCGCTCACTGGCTGAGCGAGGCGCGGGGGCAACGCCGAGGGTTGCAATCCCGTTGCCGGTCCCCGGTCCGGTACGGGGGCAACACTGAGGGTTGCGATCCGTTGCCGGACACGGAAAAAGAAAAAAAAAAAAAAAAAAAAAAAAAAAAAAAAAGAAAAAGAAAAGCTCCACGTGGCCAGGTGAGGATGATGCTGGCTGTGTGATGCTGAGCAAGTCATTTCCTCCTAGGGTCTCAGCTCCTTACTCTAAAATGCAGAGTTCAGAAGAGTTGATCTCTGAGGTCCCTTGTGACAGTTTTTAGCTCTTAGTTCCAGATTCAGCAAGGTTCGTGTCTGCTACAAGAGAGAGCAGCACTGGGACAACTTAGGGTACGGGGAGAAGCCTGCACAAGTGGTAGAGATACTGAGCAGGACAACAAGGGAGACTCCCCGAAGCTGTGACAATAAAGGTCAGGTTGGAAGAGGGGAGGAACAGCGCGTTAGCCCTGACCACAGAAGCTGGAGTTCTGCTCTTAGCAGTCGTGTCTGCGCACCTCTAGGGACTCTGGATCTGCCTGTAGGATAATTGACGGCTCACTGCCAGTGGTGCCCCCAGCTAAGCAGGCCCTGTTCTCCTACTCTCCAATAGTGTGAGTTGCTCTAGGGACTGAGAGGCCCCAGGGAAAGGTGAGCTCCTGAGGGCAGGTCCTGTGCATCATCACAAGCTGCATTGAGTGCCTGCCATGGGCCAGGCATTGTTCACATCTTGGGGGACTCATGGGTAAACAAGGCTTCTCCAGCCCCCACAGAGAGCTTAGACTAAGGAGAGGAAGAGTCATGCAATCAGGCCTCTCAGTGGTGTGAGAAGTTATATGTTAGAGAGGTACAGGGTGCCACTGGGGGGGGGGTGATCCAGTCTTGCACCCAGAGGCTGTGGAAGGCTTCACTTCCATCGTGGTACCGAGCACCTGGGTTATCACTTTGAATAGTCCCACGTCTCAGACTAAGCCCAGCTCTGTCAGATGCCCGGCCCATGGGTATGCAGACTCTGGAGGCCAGGCTGTCACAGTCCTGCGAGAAGACCACAGTCCTGTGGGAGGAACACAGCCCGCTTCCTTTCAATATTATGTCACTCCAACCTTTACCTCTTTCATACTGCGGCCATATTATTGTCCTTGGTGTAGACTTTTGAGGATCCCTGTCCTCTGTCCCACTCCCCAGTCCATTCAGGTGACTCCCTCCAGCCGCCTGTGCCATCTCCATCCCACATTGCTATACCCTGTGCCTGCACCAGCCCTTCCACTGTTCTTTCGTGAACAGACACCATCTCCACCTTGGCCTTTGGCTTCAGTGTCCCTCTGCCTCCTGTACTGGCCTGGGCCTTCCCTAAGTCTCTCCTCAACTCAAGGGGAGGCTGCCCCTTCCCCTGCACCCCTGCCTTTGGGTCATTTGAGGGCTAAATACTCTCCTTCAGTTTAGCCCTGATCCCAGGTGATATTCCCCCACCTTGTTCATTTATCCCTTCCATGTAAATCCTGTCTTTGAAGGACATCTCTTTAGGTCAGGCTCTACCATCTGCTGATCTCCAGGACACTCAACATTCTGTGAAGTGTTGGCTCCTGGCACAGTCTTCCTTCCCATATTGAGTCTGTATCCTGGCCAAGGTTGGGATAACTTTATCATTATCTTGACACCTTCATTTTTTGACACCAAATCCTGCTGGTTTTCAACAATATATGTTCTTTCCCAGTCATTTCCAATTGCTTTGTAAATGTAGATATTTCCCAAGATTCTGTGGCCAGCACCTTTAATTCTTCACACATCTTGCCCACTCCCGAGTTAGCTCATCTTTACCCTGGGCCCTTGCCACACTCAGCATTGAGTCCTCTCCTGAGCTCTGGACTCATTTCACAACTTATATCTTTCTTTTATCAGGGAGGATACTAGCTAACTAGCTAACTAACCATCTGCACAGGGACTATCTCTATGAAGTTGCCTTATTATCCAAAACAAAACAAAAAGTCATCACCTTCTCTTGCCAACAGAGCTCCCCCACTTTTTTAATGGTATCACCACTATTATAGTTCTTTGGGTTGGAAACTAGAATTATCTCATTAACCCATCATGTTGACTCCTGTACTTCTACAATATCTTGCAATCTCTTTTCTTATTTTCATCTCGATTGCTCAAGTGCAATTATTCAACATTTCCCCCCCTGAATTCTTACTGTAATATTCTTACTGGTTCCTTTGCTTCTGAGCTTTCAGTCCTTCAATTCATTCAACCCACAATTGCTGGAGTTTGGTTTAACTTTTATTTTGATGATAGTACTTCTCATGGAAACCTTTTTAAAAAACTTAATGTTAAAGTTCAAACTCTTTAGCTTTTAAGGAGATTTACAATTCTTCAGATTCTGCCACTAACCTAACTTTCTATCTTAACTCCTTTATTTCTCCATTGTAGCTGTTTTCCAGCTGCCTCAGATGTCCCAAGAATACCTAAAAACTGCTGTTGGTCTGAAATACATCCCTTTGCCCTTCATTCAAAATAACCGATCATCTTTCAAAGTCTCTCTCTTTTTCTTCTCCATCTCCTTTTCTGTCTGTCTCTCTCTCACCCGCTCTTTCTCTCTCTCAATAAGTTTCTTAAGGACAGAGACTGAGTCTCATTTACTTTTGTATTTCTCCTCACAGGGCTTAGTGCAATATTTGTTGCCTATAAATACTTAATCAATGTTAAATTTTATTGAATAACACATGGTGGTTTGATGACACATTATTTCAAATTTACTTGTATTTTATAAGAAAACTGATCAGTTTACTTCCTGTAGCATTGCTGTTTGTTGGTTAGTTGATTTGTTCATTCATTCATCCAGCCAATGAATATTGATAGAGTGGACACTGCGTAGTAAGCATACAATAGTAAACAGGGTCTCTGCCCTCATGGAGCCTATGTTATAGTTTGTGTGATCCCCTTATTCAAAGTGTTCTTTTTTGTTTTTAAAATGAAGTATGAAATACAAAGTAAGAATATGTCATTTTTAATATAACTAACATAGAGAAAAGTACAAGCTGTGACTTGAAAATTATACATTAATTTAGCATTAATCAGAAACTTAAGATCAACCAATTTAGTTCCGTATAGAAAACTGAGACCCAGAGAGGTTACACATTATGCCCAAGGCCACACAACTAGTTCTAGTGGCAGAACTGAAACTCAAGTCCAAGTTTTCTGAATCCTAGTTAGGAATTATTTCTTCATGTTAGACTATGAGCAAAATAGAAAATTCTCAGGGTGGTGGAGGAGAAGGTCATATGTTGCAAGGTGTGAGGTCATGGCAGGGTGTGGTGAGATTCATAGAGGGACCCTGAGCATCATAATTAAACACAATTAGAAGATACATTACATTTACTTGTGATGCTTCCTTAGGCTCTCTTAGCTGAGATAGTTTCTCAGACTTTCTTTGTCTTTGATGAGCTTGACAGGTCAAGTATTTTGTAGAATGCCCTCTACTGAAATTTGTTTGATTTTCTTTTCATGATTAGACTGGGGATATTGGTTTTGGGGACCACAGAGATAAGTGTCATTTTTATCACATCATGCCAAAGATGCATACAATCAACATGATTGATTACTGTTGACATTGCCCTTGACCATCTTATTGAGATAGTGTTTGTCAAGTTCTCCAGTGTAAAGTTACTCTTTCCCCTCTTTTCCATATTGTATTCTTTGGAAGAAAGCCTCTAAGCAGAGCCACACTTAAGGATTGGGGAGTCTGCTTTCCTTCCTTGAGGTCAGGGTATATTCATAACTTATTTGGAATTTTTCTGCAAGAAAAATTAGTCATTTCTCCCCTATTTATTTATCGTATCATTTGTTTAAACCAATATGGACTCATGGATATTTATTTATATTGTTGGCTATAATCCAGCATTATTTTGTTGATCAAATTGTTCCAGCTTTGGTCTTGGGAAATCTTTAAGTTGGCTCTGTGTCCCTTTGACATATCCTCATCAATGTAGTTTGTTTGTTTGTTTGTTTGTCACTTCCTTAACTTTCTGGTACTACAACATACATCAAGCTCGTCTTGTTTATTTCATGCACTAATCCTAGAATCAGGCATTTCTCCAAGGAGCCCTGTTCTTTTTATTGGGGAATGGTATTAGAAACCAAGATTTAGGCTCTAGTTGTGTTTGTTGTTTCTGGGGTGTTGTTACTTCTAAGTCTTCTCAGCTGACAGAACAAGGAAATATATGTATGTATACTAACCTGTATATATACACATATCTATACATATCATATATGTAACCATTTATGTCTGTATTAAACTAAACTTGAGTTCATAGTGATGTCTCCAATTCTAATCCATGACCATATGGATTATTCTAGTCTCCTCCCCTGGCTTAGCTGTAAATTCGCATTCCAGCTGTGAGAAATCTCACCCTCTGTTAACCATTTACTCAGTTGTTCGGTTCCGGTGTACATGTATTACAGTATCAAAATTGTTAACCTGGATCTCTGTGGAAATAACTTTATCAACTAGAGTGCAGCAATTGTGCGCAGTTCTTTTAGTCTTACAGACTCCACTCACTTCCCAAGTAATGTAAGTCAGCACCTTACTCCCCACTCCTTTCAGTAAGTGATGGATTTTGGACCTGATGGGTGCCGTTGTGCACACAATAAGCACAAAATAGCCTCTGGCCTTGTCTTCCACTCCAGCACCAAACCCCTACCCCTTCCCTTTACGAGAAGCCTCATGACTTAAACAGAAACCCTTTTGCTTCTGCAAGGACGTAGTTCTCCACCCTGGTCTCATAGCTTGCACATTAGCATCATGACCCTCCTTGATGGTATCAGCTCGCCCTTGGTGCCCTATACAAGCTCTACCACCCCCACGCCTGGTACTGTCCTCCATTTTGAGGGCAGCCCCGGGTTGCCCCCAACTTTGAGCACAACCTGGCAGATTCTTTTCCTTTAATAAATCTTGATCGATACCCAGCTTCTCGGCTCACTTTCTTTCAGTACGGTTCTTCCCTAATTTTGTAATACAGTGAGATTCTCTTCTCACAGTCTGAATTCCTTCCTGGAATCCCCTAACTTCCCAAATGAGTTCTTAAAAATTCATATGCACTAAGGTTTACTCTTTGGGCTGTAAAGTTCTATGGGTTTTAGCAAATGCATAATGTCACTTATCCACCACTATAGTCTCATACAGGATAGTTTCATTGCCCTAAAAATTCTCCCATGCTTTGCCAGTTCAACTCTCTTCCCTCCCTATCGTGTTTTTACTGTCCTCATATAATTAGAGCCATACTGAGGGTGTGTGAGAGTGTGTGTGTGTGTGTGTGTGTGTGTGTGTGTGTGTGTGTGTGTGTGCACGTGTGTGGTGAGGCTGGGAAGTGGGCCTCTGATTTAGGAAAAGAGGGTGCAGAGAAGAATATCAGACTTCTGTATTTTGTTTTGAAAAAAGTTGAGAGTGATTTGCTTTTTAAATCTTGACAGTTACATGTTGTTCTTTGTGGGTTTTTTTTCCTTTCTTTTTGTGTGTGTATTTTCTGAAGAGTATTTCGAATAATGGATGACAATAACAACCGAACCCTTGATTTCAAAGAATTTGTGAAAGGGTTAAATGATTATGCTGTGGTCATGGAAAAGGAAGAGGCAGAAGAGCTTTTCCGGAGATTTGATAAAGATGGAAATGGAACGATAGACTTCAATGAATTTCTTCTCACATTGAGAGTAAGTGGCTCTGTGAATCAGTGTACCTGCCAAGTTCTACTCTCACGTGGCTTGGGTTGGCTATTTTGAGGTTTCATTTTCAGAAGTTGTTAGTATACTGTGAAAGGGGTGGGCAGGAGACTATATTTTGGGAGCAATCATAATGCATACCATTTAACAGCACACAAACAATTTCACAACACTGAGGGGAATAAGACAGTTACACTCATTGGCTTGTATGTCTGTGTGTGTGTGTGTTTCTTATTTATCTAGCCTCCAATGTCCCGAGCAAGAAAAGAAGTAATTATGCAAGCTTTTAGAAAGTTAGACAAGACTGGAGATGGTGTTATAACAATTGAAGACCTTCGCGAGGTGTATAATGCAAAACACCATCCAAAGTACCAAAATGGGGAATGGACTGAGGAACAAGTATTCAGGAAATTTCTGGATAACTTTGATTCACCCTATGACAAAGATGGATTGGTAAGTAGAAAAGCTTAACTAAGTGAAATTTCTGCTATCCAATTTAAAATTTTAAGTGGGAAATAGCTTCAAAGCCTTAAAAATCTGAATACATTGATACCATATTTGTTATAAATAGAAATAAAGTACTTCCTTAGGGACTGCCTAGAAAGTTGAAAACTATACATAATAAAATACACACACACAGAGAACATATATAGGTAGGAGATCCACATACAGCTAATACCCATCATCTGGAGAACACGGTATTTAACCATATTCCAATTTCACAGTTACCATATTCACCATACGCAGCTAGCCACATTCCAATGAATTAGACTAAAATGAAACATATTTAACTTCAAATTGAGACCACAATTCAGTATTTTTAGAATGGATTCACAAGGCCTTTCAAGATGTTTCAGTGCCTTTTAAATTCATTGTTATGAGCATCATTTGTCATCACACTTTGCTATGTGGAAATGCTACTTAATGGCAGACAACAGAATTTACTCTGATTTATTCTTTAGTATGCTTTGAGATTAACTTGCATTTCTGAACTGCAGTGAACTTGAAAACAAAAGCAACCACCCCATCTCCATTAACTTAGTTACAAATGTGTAGCTTGGTAGGGTAAGGAATTATATCTCCTTAACTGTGTCTAGGCTGAGATGAAACTGTCATCTGTCTTTTATCAACAGCCAAACAGACTTTTTAAACCCAAAGCCAGTTCTGCTCTTGGTGACCTAAGAGTTACGGTAATGGGGGCAGGGGATTCTCTTCTTGGCCACAGTCAACAGCAGCAGAACAGAAAAAGACTAGTGGGACAGTGGATGGGAAGAAGAGGTGGTGATTATGGGAAGACAAATGAACCAAAATTTCCCACGACTTTTCTCTTAATGAAACTTTATGATGAGTCCTGTTAGGAAGGGGTGGGGAATAGAAAGGAGAACTTTATTTCTTTCCTATTGACATTTTTCAGTCAGGAATGGAGAAATACCCTCTATTTTAGGCTGAGGGATTGTGTAGATAGAAAAAGAAAAAGGGACCTAGATTCTGTAGGGCAGCCAAGTGCTTAGGGACAGAAATAACAGAACTATGTGTTTTCTTCCAGTATTGCTGGCCTTTGATCTCTGAGATGTCAGTGGAAAAATAGCCAACCGCCATTTCCCCAAATTAGCCCAACTCTGCATGGATCCCAGAGTGTGTCTGCTTCCCTTCTGCAGGTGGTTCCTCCTCACTGCCAGGGGAAACCTCAGCTGCCCCTTTCTCTAACTCAAGTCAAAGTAGCCAGTTGTGATTCAGCTGATTTAAAGTCCCCACCCCTGTGACTTTTGACATTTATCTTAATAGGCCACGTTAAGCTCTCAAATACTCATAAAGGTTATTGAAGTTTTTAGCTGTTACAGCATTTGATGTCACCTGAATATCACAGACCCTTTATCAATACCCAACTCTGGCTATTCATGATCATCGTCAGGGGGTGCAGACTGCTGGCTGCATGCAGAACCAGAATCCGATTTTGGGGGGTGGAGCTCACGGATTTACAGTTTTAATAAGTGAACCAGATGATTCTTATGCACATTTGTATTTGAGATCCTTAACTCTAAAAGACTCAGAAACACCTGTTTCTGATCACTAAATATGATATTCACATGCTGGGCAACATTTATTGAGCTCTTATCACCCGGGCATTGTACAAAGGGCACTACAGGGGTTATCTCATTTCACAGAAGTCATAAAAATGTTTCCTGAAAGTGGTGTGGATTCAAACTTTGAATCATATTTTACGTAAAAAATTGTTGAGGTAGAGGAACTCTGTGGTAAATTCATTTATAAAGAGGATAATTAGCCCCTAATTTACCTTTTGCAAATGGGAGTTGTTTGTGCATTAAGATTTCTTACGGTGAAGCATAGCTACACCTGAAGCCAGTGTGCTCATTTATTATTTAAAAAGCCAATTAAGACAGAATTCAGAATAATGCATAAAAATTAGTATAGTCCCTAGCCAAGGATGATGTTCAAATTTATGAACCTTTAATAATCTAGACTAAGCTCTTAAGTACTCAGAAAGGTTACTGGGGTTTACAGCAGTCACGGAATTTGATGTTGTAGATCCTGTACTAATACTCCACACTCTGCTCTTATAGCAGCCTGTGCATGAGAAGCCATTTAGGTGGAGGTATGAAAGCAACCAAATAGCATGTGAAACAGACCTTCCTCACCCTTATTCTATCCCTAAACCCCACCCCAGTTTGGTGAGGCTTTTACTTCTTTTTTTAAAGTTTTGAATTTTTCATGTATATGTATTACTTTATAGTCACACATATTTTTTAAAAGTCTCCTAGAACTTTAGTCTTTCAGGGGATATGAGTCTTATTGTCTTATCCATCTCATATGGACATTTTTAAACAGTTAGAAATATTTTAAGTGTATTACTGAGTGTATGTAGCAACCCAAATTTGTTTTAGGATTTTCTGAGTCTGCAGCTGAGAAAAAGGGACTGTACTCTGTATCATGACTGAGATATTTCCATTGCCCCTATCTGGGGCCTACTGCTATATATGATACATATCTTGTCAAATAGGGATAGCAGAGTCAAGAGGCCTGCTAAAAGTAGGAGTGTCCATTCTCTTATTTTTTCTAATGTCAAATGAAATAAGTAATAATAGTAAATTTGCTGAACAGTAATTTAGTATGATGAGGGCAAGCATATGGGAGATCCGAGAATTTGTGATTTAGGCCATTGCCAATATAAATTGAGTCTAGGAAACAAGCAGACACAGAGCTAAGAGTAACTGGTGGTCTTTTCTGAAGTTATCAAATATGTGAGCTCTAACTTCTGGTTTGTCATGGTCTGACTTCCAGATGGGATTTGATGCTCACCTTAGCTTTTGCCCATCTCTGATTTTTTCTCCATTCTCCATTTAGAGCCAACTCAACTCCAGGTCATCCCCATCCCATTGGGGGTACTTGGGATTGAGGGATGGGGTGGTGATATAGGTCTCAATTATATCTTGGTGTATCCGGGATTGCTTTCATTCTCAAGTAATACAAAATCTTATTAGACAGTGGCATAAACAAATGAGGTTTTATTTTTCATTCCACACAATGTCCTAGGTTGAGTGGCTTAAGGATAACAGAGCTGAGGTCTCTGTGATTCTCTTGGCCTCTCCTTCATGATCTTAAGACTGCTGTCCAACTCCAGCCAGCACATCTGAGTTTTAGGCAGCAGGACAAAGGGAGGGATGAGGAGGGGATGAGAAAGGTGCAGAGTCTGTATCATGAAAGCAAAGACTTCCCTAGAAATCTATATCAGATTTCTGGTTTTATCTTATTGGTGAGGAATCTGTCACTTGGCCAGCCCAAGGTGTAGCTGCAAGGGAGTCTGGAAAAATGAGTTTTTAGTTTTCCACCTTCTGTAGTAGAGAAAAGCCAGAGACAGGAGTATTATAATGGGTGTGGAGGAGTCTCATTCAGTGTCTGCCACCCTTGGTAAACAAGCAGACAATAACAACAACAACACTAAAAATGTTGAGTTTGATAATTCAAAACTTTTTTAAGAACTTAACTTGAAAAATTTAATTTTTAAAAATGTTCCTCAGTCAAACAGTCAAGTTAAAGTGCACAGTCAAAATGTCTCATGGTCCTGTGCATAACTCTATCACTTTACTTGCTATTTTCTGTTGAAATTACCCACCTACTTGTTTGATTTCTTCACCAGTGTATGAGCTTTTTGTGAACTAAGACTTTATTTTATCTTGTGTATTCTCAAACACTGGTGTGCACAATAATGAAATGGGGTGCTTGGATTAAAAAAGGTAAATTTCAAAACCACTTGCTTCAAAGATTGTGACTCAGTAGATATGGGGGTAAGAGCCTGGGAATCTGAATTTAGGACAAGCATCCCAGGTGATTCTGACACAGGTGGTTATGGACCATATTAAGAAATGTTGCCCTGGTACCTCACACAGTAGCAGAAAGATAGAATGGGAGCAGTAATTATGTGTGGAACTTAGTGACTTAGTGAGGGGATTAGAAAACAGAGGCTGAGGAATCCAAGGAGAAGAGGCATAAAATAATTCAAGAAAGGAGCACAGTAATGGTATTTTAATATTAACAAAGGCTGTATGCAAATATTATTTATTTGTATTTACCGACCGCTGATAAGCATAACTCAACTATTAGCTCCATCCAAATGGTTTCTTGCTAATGCCTTTCATTGTTTTTTGTGGGGAGAGGGTACAAGAAAGAGAATAGCGAATTCTATGACTTTTTTTTCTATTCATGTATAATTTCAGCAAAAAACTCAAGTAGGTCAGTCAGCTTATATAATTCTTGGAAGATATCAGTATGCACCAAAACACTAGGTGGGAGATGAGTTTGTTGTTATGAACTACAAAGAAGTTTTGAGTTATTATGGAATTCTCTTCTTGTGATGTTTTTAATTCCTCATGAGTACTAAAAATTGAGGGCTGACGAGAGAACAGTGAATTTCCAAAACAGCCATCATTACTGTATCTGCATCCTCCTGGATAAGCATTTCCATACTTTGGGCTAAATTCACTGGCCACTGAGACCAGTCAACAGGAGGACACTTCTTTCCCTAAATCAACTAATCAGGTCAGTCAATATGGTTGAATTGGAGTGTACATATCACCTATACCTATTAAAAGCAAGACTAATAACTATTTATTCCTTCCAAAAGGAAAGTAATATGAAATCCTACCATGGATAAACATGTTAGTTGATATTCCAAAGAGACATCATAGGTTTTGAATGGAGAGAAAGCAGAGGGCAGGGTGGGAGACGTGGAACAGTGGGCAACCTTTTCACTCACCCTGGGCCTCAAGTGAGTAATTTGTATCTTAGAAACACACGCAATTGAGGAATGTTTAACTAGAAATCCGCTCTATTTTATTTTATTTTATTTTATTTTTTACCCACAGGACAAGACTCCATTTTTCAGAGGTAAAACATGACTTCTGCTGACACAAGGACATGACATGTTTCTGACATGTCCCAGAAAGACAGTATTAACTACAGTTAAAGAACACTTTTTCTTATTCTGAGTTTCAGTCTCGCTTATCTGAACTGGTGGGCTCCTGCTCTTAAAGAAAAGATGACAACCTGTGTCTCAGTTTCTATTTAGGTCGGTTTGGAAATTTCCAAGACTTTATTCTTCTCCCCCATTCCCCTCTCACCACCATCCTCAACTTCACTTTTTCTGTTGTTTTATATCTATTCCCTAGCCCTGATCACAACCAACCTCCTGGACTGAAATCCCCTTTTTGTTACAGGTCCAGAAGGTGGTCTCCACTGAAAGAGTGAGAAGCAAAATTTGTTTTTTTGTTTCTAACTCTTCTGCTGCAGGTGACCCCCGAGGAGTTTATGAACTACTATGCAGGTGTGAGCGCATCCATCGACACCGACGTATACTTCATTGTCATGATGAGAACTGCCTGGAAACTTTAAATGTATGACCTGGGGACCAGGCCTTGGGAACAACTAAGTGGCTCCAGATGACTAAACATCAGCTCAAAAACCAGGATCATATTTGATTTTATGTTCATCCCAGTGTTTCTTCCATGCTAACACACTGCATTTTCTAGGGCTAGTGAGAAAGAAAAGGGCAGAAATAAAGACAGTAAGTAGTCAACTATGAGCTTGCCTTCTCTGAGGCCTTCTTAGCTCTAAAATAGGGATTAAATAAAATGAGATCTGAAAAGCTCCTAGTGCTATGGCTGATACATGCAGGAGTTTAATCAACTTTAGGTTTCCTCCTTGGCCATTCATGAAAGTTTGAATCTTTTAATTATAACCCCCACCAGTTGCAACCACGGTCTTTCTCTATCTCCTCTTAGAGGGTCCATTTCTAGGTGAGAGAATTCATTTATTTTTACAACTGACTATAAATCTTTAAGTGCTTCAGTTCCAATTTGGGGATCAGAAGGAGACGATGTGTTAGCCTCAATTTCTAAAACTGACTCTTGAGTTTCACTGCCCAGGGTTTTGGGAGGCCTCCCTTGGCTTGGCAAATAGATTTAAAATTACCTTCTTGGGGGTCATTTTAAAGACTGGTATGAGAGTGGAGGCCATTTCTTTGAGCAGTAGATCCATGACAATTCAACAAAGTATTCCTGTGGTTAAAGTTTTCAGGCTGAGCTGTGCTTTCAGATTTTACATGAGACATCTCACCCTGTGAGAGAGCAGACCATACGAGCAAGCTTTCACCTTGTGGAATGTTTATCTCTTCCCTGCCTGTGGTCAGCTGGTCATGCTGAAGTTCCCACAACACCAGGTGTCACATGGACTAGGATCACAGGCATACTCCAAAATAGATTTGCCATCTCGACATATCATGGTGCAGTTTCTTCCTCCCAGCACTAAATTTGGCTTCATACTGTTGATGTGCAGAAATCTCCCCATGAAATGCTGCTAGAAGCAAAGGCAGCCCCAGCTGGGAAGTAGATATTGAAGCTACAACTCTCCTCTTGTGTTCTGTGTCTGGGGACAAAGATAAAAACATAGCAACTAGCCTCTGGTTTAGGTGCTGGAGGCAATGACCACCTTTCCTTGTTGCTCAGGGGAAGTACCTCTTTTTGCCACCTCTGTCCCTGGCTGTACTCATTCCCTGGTTTGAGGACATGGGTTGGGTTAATGTATTTAAATGGCTCTGAATTTAGGGTCTGAACACATTTGCCATATTTTGTACCAATTCACTTGTTTACTTTTTATTTCACAGTGTTTGAGGACATGGGTTGGGTTAATGTATTTAAATGGCTCTGAATGTAGGGTCTGAACACATTTGCCATATTTTGTACCAATTCACTTGTTTACTTTTTATTTCACAGACGTGGAAATTGAGATCAGGATATACATTGATTCAAAAATTGCAAAAACAGGTGCTGCCAGATGAGAATTATAGCACCTTCTGGCTGAGAAATTCAACTCACATATTCTGGTGACAGGCTAGAAAAGGGACATTTTTCCTGAGGATGAGTGCATCCCCTTTCCATAAGAAGCTATTTTTTTCTCGCAATTAATTACACAAGTGTAGTTTTTGATTGGATTTATTATCTAGGCTTATATAGAGATTGGTGGGCCAAAAGAAACCAAGCATTATGAAGAAATATGTAGAAAGCCAGCAGAAATTATGAAGAAATGGACAGGAAAAATATCCATGTTTTTTGCAGCCTGCACCTTGCATATTGTGGCTACAGGGAGTTCCCTGTGTCCCTGGGGCATGGGTGGCTTTCAAGCCTACTGCTCCAGATAGACTAGTGTCTTTGGTTCTGGGTATGACTCATGCCTCTGCTTGATTGGGGCCATAAACTGAGCATGTGATTCTGAGCAAGGACTAGGTTGCAGCTATCAACTTCCTCTTCCCCTCTGGTACTTTGCTTCCTGTCTAATGGGGACACAGGGCACAGCTATCAGATTTCAGATAACCCATCTCTCACAGCGCACGTGATCACATTAGGCTGACTACCTTTTAGCAGTATGAGCTCTGGGCCCATGAACAAGATTCCCCTTAGGCCCTCTCACCCTCTGGAAACAAGATCTCCTGACAACCTGATGGTCAAGGATTGCTCCACTCCTATTCTCAGTCTTATTTATGATTTCTGGCATAGTCAGGAATTGCTCATTATTTAACTCTACTCCTTGTAGTAGCAGTGGGAGGAACAGAGAAGAGCCATTTAAAATAATCATTTGCTAATACTTTCCTGGGTATATTTTCTGTTTATTTAACTTTCACATTTTAAATCTTACCTCATTTGCAATTTAAAAAGTAAGCATTTGGGTCAGAAGATAAAACACAATAAAAAGTCTCCACCTGGACCCCAGATAGGAAATTAAATTTTAACTTTCACATTTTAAATCTTACCTCATTTGCAATTTAAAAAGTAAGCACTTGGGTCAGAAGATAAAACACAATAAAAAGTCTCCACCTGGACCCCAGATAGGAAATTAAATAAACAATCCAAAGAGAAGAGGATGAAATTGGCAGCTTTTTATGAAACAGAAGTGATGTGTGCAAGTGTTCTGAGAATCAGGATTTGTTAGAACAGGCCACTCATAACACTAATGAATCTGGTTTCTAACTTCCCCAAAGGCAAACCTATGCAAGAACAGCAGCAGACCCTGACTCAGCCGCTGCCAAGAGTCGGTGTACATTGTACCAAAATCCACTCACACTGCAGATGAGAAGCCCAAGATGTGCCAGCAGAATTGTAGACTGAAGCAGAATTCTTCCCATCTGCAGGGCTGCTTTTCATAGTCATCTAAACCTTGATAGGATCTTCCCTGGCCCAGATGGCACTCTGGAGGAACTGTTCTGTGAGGTTTGGTAGAGGCCTGAAGTCCCATTTCATACCCTCATAGCGGCTTTTAAGGGAGGGCTGGATGCCTTCCATTCAGGCTGCAGATTGACTTGGCACACATGGCTTGAGGATGGAAACACATCCCATCAATGAATATTTATGGAGCCACATGCTCTTTTCTAGGCTGTGGGGATAAAGCAATGAACTACAATAAACGCAAACAAAACCACTGGCTCTCAAGCCAAATTAACAATCCACAGTAGTTAAGAGATCAAAGAGGGCAGAGAAGCAGGGGAAACATGGGCACTGAAATCCTCCTCCCCACGTCTCATCCAGCTTCTGAAGCCTGGACAGTCAGGGTCCTTTATATGGTGTTAGGGAACTATGTAGCAAATTTGGTGAACACAGACAGTCTATCAAGACAGTGCAAGGACAATCCCCCTGTATTCCTGGAGGGAGATAATCATCTTGGACTGCCTCACTAATCTGTGAGAGTGCAAGTAGTCGACGATCCCACCCTCACTAAGCTGCATGCAGATGCAGTCTGGTATGCTGATGTTTAATCAAGCGGAGAGATTTAATTAACCAAATGTGTTCTTGGATGGTGTGTGGGTGACCCTCTACTGCTTCATGAAATTCTATTAACACCTCTGAGTAGTGTATGTTTTTGGATATACATACCTAATTTGAGTACATAATGAAAAAACTCACAACTTCTAATTTTCTGAATTGGTCAACAAACTTCCTTTCCTGGAAATTATTGGCTGTTCTTTTAAATTAAAAACTTGCTTAATGATGCAGCAAAGTTTTAAATCTTAGAAATCCTTAGGACTCAAAGTAGAAACAAAGGTGTCAAGGGTCTGATAGATTGCCATATCTTGTTATTAATTTTCATGTATTTGATCCTTTTGAAAGCCATTTTTTCTTCGCATTGTTTTACTTCTTCAGGTCACTTATACAGAAACTATATAATCTTGATAGCTAGCTAGTTCTTTTATTCTAATAAGAAAAAACCCACTAAGTTAATTCCTAAAATTATTTGTTCTAAAACAGATGACAGGTGAAATCTGTTGAAAGAAACATAAACGAATGATAGATGGGGGTTCTGAGAACACTGCTGTTGCTGCGTGAGAAGAATTCTTTTTGCCGTCTCAGTTGGTGCGGTGAGGGCTTGTGGTGAAACAGCTCTTCCTCTCTGAGAATAGCATGACCTTCTTGTTTAAGTCTCACACCTGCTTTGCCAAAACCAGTTTTTCCCCTCAGCAAAATATAGTGGAAGATCCTCTTAAGGAGTGAAGCCCACTGAAAATATGAGCAAGCAGCCAGTAGCTGAGGTTTTGATGAGGACCTCTCAAGCTACCAAAGGTGTGCCGTATCAGGGAAAGAAAACCTCAAAATGTGGTGTCCTTTTTTCTTTTGTCTTAGGTTCTTCTCCCGATTCTTCATAATATAGTTGATTTACTGTTTCTCTGAAATATTGTAAAAATTCTAGCAGCCACTGAAAATTATTGGTGCAATTCTGTATCACCAAAGTCTTGTGAGCACCTGGGCTTCCAGCTCCCTCTCTTGCTATGGACACGTAGCTGAGGTTTTGATGAGGACCTCTCAAGCTACCAAAGGTGTGCTGTATCAGGGAAAGAAAACCTCAAAATGTGGTGTCCTTTTTTCTTTTGTCTTAGGTTCTTCTCCTGATTCTTCATAATATAGTTGATTTACTGTTTCTCTGAAATATTGTAAAAATTCTAGCAGCCACTGAAAATTATTGGTGCAACTTCTGTATCACCAAAGTCTTGTGAGCACCTGGGCTTCCAGCTCCCTCTCTTGCTATGGACACTGGAGGTGTGACAAGCAGCTCAGTCATGCCAAGGGTCACAACCCAACTTTACCTTATATTGCCCATATACCTGTCACTCATTTCCAATTTCATTCTGCTCTAGACCCTGTAATCAGTTTACCAGGGACCTTGAGACTCAGAGATCAAGCACCTGAAATCGTCAAAGACTTGAGCTAACTTTTTCTCTACTGACTTTAACACTTGGCATTCAGAGACTGATATTGATTTGGGAACATCTTGATCTTAAGCTTGAAAGGTTTGAGTCGCTGATCTCCTGGAAACACTCAGGACACAGGCAGAACCGACGACAACCAGCACTCCGAGAGAGATTTAGAACAGAATGGGGACCTGAAATTGAGAGAAAATGACAGATGGCAGAGTGGCTTGCTCCTTCCAAGGTTATAGTGAGTCTCAGAGTGTTTCCACATTGATGGGATAAAGTGCTACTCAAATGCAGGTTATTGTCAAATGTTAGCCATTACTTCACTAAACCCAGATCACTGCTCTAGTTTCCAAGGGAACTGGGATATAAAGTGCCATTCCACAAGTTTCACACCTATTTGGCA